CATTAATCAACTTGTGATGAAGGATGTTACTATTTTAAGATTGTCAAATCTGAATATACAAGTAACATGTTACAATGTTTTTCTACATTAGCTAAGATACAGGACATTGGTCATGAAATGTAGCACCCTACTGTGAAGGGTCTTACCATTTTTATCTTTTTGTTTTTCAGAGCTGGCCGCACTGTCCACCCCGTATGTGTTTTCTGGTAAACACAATCATAACATTTTGTTTTGCTAATAATGCTTTAATTGCATATTTTTTGATTAAATGCACTGTCAATAAGTTGCAGAATTGTTAAAATTTAATAGTTATTGAGAACAACCCACCAAAAAGTAATCCCGCAATAATGGCAACAACCAACTGCAAGAAAAAATAGAAAAATAAATATGTTGGAATCACATAAAACTGCATTCTGCTTGTACATATTGTATTGAATGTATAAAATCAATTCTGATAATGTTGGGAAATTCTGTAAAACGTAGCTGAAACCAGAATACAATGATTTGCAAATTTCATAAACTGACACTTTATTCTCAGTAGAACATTAAAAACATTTAAACTGAGTCATTTTTGCTATTTCATGAAATATATCAGTGTGGTGGTGGTGTGGTCTTTGGCTCAGCTGCAAGGGAGGAGTGGTGCAGTTAGCTTAAGGGGGCGGCACCGGGAGCCAGGTGAGCCACAGGCGATTGTCTGATGACGGTGTCTCTTTTCCGTGTCTCTATAGTGAAGGCAGAGTCGAGCGGGGAGGAGGAGAGAGCTAGACTGAAACGGACTGCCTTCTTTGTGTGCATAACTCTCAATAAAAAACAATAACAGTGTGCAGAACCATCGTTTCTGGCGTGTACTTCTACAGTCAGATAATTTTAAATCTCCCACATCTGGAAAAGCACCATCAGTGCTGAAAGCTGTGAACAGGTTTTAGAGCAACATGTGCTCCCATCCATATTATGTTTCTTTTTGTCAAGGCCTTACATATTTCACCAAGACAATATTAAAGTTGAAGTGTATAGATGCTGAACTTGTTTCCCTGCAGTCCAGAACTTTTACTATTTGATGGCAAATCTAATACTGTCATCAAATTTTAAATCAGCCACTAATAAGTTTAAACTTATTTCACGTATTTTATATTGTGAATAAAAGTGTTTGCAAAATTTGCAAATCATATCATTCTGTTTTTATTTAGATTTTATGCAGAATCCCAACATTTTCGGAATTGAGCTTGTAATGTGAAAACATATGTATTACAGAACAAAAGGAAATTAAATTTTAATTGAACTTAAAATGTATTTAAAGTTATATATTACCAGTCGCATCATGATTGTAGAGGAACCTTAAAACAAAATGACAATGAAAATTGAACTTTCAAGAGGTGCATCACATGAGATCAATATTTTAGTTTAGACTATCTTTTTAATACAGTGATGGGAAAAAGTGTTTGCCCCCTTCCTGATTTTCCAGTCTTTTGCATATTTTTCACACTTACATGTTTCAGATCATCAAACACATTTTAATATTAGACAAAGATATTATTGATCTCTTGTTAATGTGTTGCTTCCGTAACTGGATACCCAGCAAGATTGCCAGTCTTCTAGCTTGCTTACTTGCCACAAGTGCACTGTGCCACCTACCAATAGAAAGGAAAAGATAATGTGCATATTTCCACGAGAGAAATCCCACGCCTGGACCGTCATTGACCGCCGCCATGATTCTAGCCTACGTCACAGCATCATGTGCGCTTTTTACGTCTAACACGAAAAATGCAGTCGTGGTGCTTTCGATTGTACTCAGAAGTCGGAAATTCTGCCTTCCGAATAGGAAAATGTAGGTAACACCAGACTGCAGATGAGCTGCATACACGGCTGGACTGGGACAAAAAATCGGCCCGGGCATTTTGACTAGAGAGTGGCCCGCCATTATAGGAAAAATCATAAAGCCTTTGAATGAAAACAAACACTGTTGTGACAGTGATGTACACGGTTCTGATGGTATATATGCATCAATCTATCAATCGTTTGTTGTAAGATTCAGATAATTATTTTTTAAAAGCTAGATATTTTAAATGAGAATAAGAAAGAAAAGTACTTCTTTGTGCCCCCCTCTCCCTGTTAATGCCCTACCTGCCCCCCTGGCAAAACATTGCTAGACCTGCCCCTGCACAGTTACCAGCCGTCAGCTAGGTAGAAAAAGGATCCTGGTGTTTTTTGTCTCTCACAAACAGTTCATAACTTCCCTTCAACTCATTCATGTCACCTAAAAGGTAAACCTGTTTCTCCATCACCTGTTCAGGTCTGATGATTCAGTAAGGACATCTCCTGATTTCATCTTCATGTTTCCCTCTCACCAGATAACTAAACCGATATCATGACCAGCAGCTTTTACAGCTGTGGCTCCAGCAAACATCAGCTGATACTAGAAAGTAATATTAAATAAATTCTATCAACAGCTGATCAAGCTTAAACGTGCTGCTCTTGTTTAACGCGACCTCCGCTGGTTTCTTCTTTCTGGCGCAAAGTGGGCGATAAACAAACAAGAGAGAAAAGCCGATCAGCTGATCATTGATCAGTTTCATGATTGAAGCAGAAACAGGAGAGGGAGGGGGAGAGAATGAGAGAAGAAGAGGCAGCTGACAGCATAAAGACAGAATAACTCCAGCTTTGTGTCTTTTTCATTGTAGCGGAAGTCCGGGACAAACTGTGTTCCTTTTCACCTCAATACCAATAATATATTCTCTGAATGCGGGACATTCCATTTTTTACGGGATGGTTGGCAACTCTAATAATTAACCTTATGAACAAAATAAAGTTCGACATCAGTAACATCATAGCACTCACCCAGCTGTATAGAAACTCCATCATGCTAGCTAGTACCCAGTACAAAAAAGTCAGCATAACGAAAATAAACTCCACCTAAACTTGGTTTATATCTGACCCAGATAGACTGCAAGTCATAACTTCTTACCTGAAGTTCAGTTCACCTGACACTCGGACCGGCGGCCTCAACACCGCCTCGGGTCTCTGCTCCTCCTGCCTCCCCTTTCCCTCATCTACCTGCTGGTCTCCAACACTTGCTAATGTTACTGAATCTGTGGAAGCTCCGTGATAGCCACCGCAAGAAGTAACGAATAACGACCCTATCTAAATCCCAGTAATGATTAACGCGTTCCTGATTTTGGCATAATAACTAGTTACCATGTTCATTACCACAATAATAACGTAGTTACTGTAGTCCCTACACTGCTGGCCGACCTGTTGAATCAAGAAATCACTTAAATAGAAGCTGTCTGACAAAGTGAAGCAGGCTAAAAGATCTCAGAAAGCAACACATCTTGCAAGGATCTAAAGAAACACTTGAGAAACAAAGTCACTGACATCTATCAGTCTGGAAAGGTTTACAAAGCTATTTGTAAGGCTTTGGCACTCCAGTGAACCAAAGTGAGAGCCATTAGACACCAATGGAGTAAATCTGGAACAGCGGTGAAGCTTTCCAGGCTTGACTGGCTTACCAAAGTTACTCCAAGAGCACATTAACAACTCATCCAAGAGGTCACAAAATAACCCAGAAAACATTAAAGAACCTCAGGATTCACATGTCTCAGTTAAGATTAGACTTAATGATTCAACAATAAGAAAAGGAATGAGCAAAAATGGGAGAGTTCTAGGAGAAAACCTCTGCTGACCAAAACTAACTCAAAGGCTCATCTCACAATTGCCAAAAACATCTCCCCAAGACATCTGGTAAAACATTATTTTATGCAGACGAGATAGAACTTGAACTTTTTGGAAGGTTTGAGTCCTGTTACATCTGGCATAAAAACTAACGTTGCAGACAAGGAACATCATACCAACAGTAAAATATGGTCATGGTAGTGTGATGGCCTGGGGCTGTTTGGCTGCCTCGGGACCTGGAAGACTTGGTGTGGTAAATGGAATCAAGAATTCTGCTGTCTACCAAAACATCCCAAAGGAGAATGTCCAGTCCAGTTTTTGACCTCAAGCTGAAGCGCACTTGGTTTTTCCAGCAGGGCAATGTTCCAAAACACACCAGCAAGTCCACCTCTGAATGACTTAAGAAAAACCAAATGAAGACTTACTCAGTGACCTAGTCAAGGTCCTGAACTGAATCCCATGGAGATGCTGTGGCATGACCATAAAAAGGTGTTTCATGCTTGTAAACCCTCCAGTGTGGCTGAATTGCAAAAAATATGCAAAGATGAATGGGCAGGGGACAACAATCTTTCACACCACTGTATATCGATTGAAGTTAGCTGTATTAAAAACATAATGCCACATCAAAATGCTACTAAATTATAGTACTACGTATATTAAATGTATTTTTTGAAAGGTTTCTTAAGTATTGTTTTAAATATAAGTACCAAGAAGCATCACGCTCAAAACCAAACAAATTTAAAAGAGAAAATCCTTTACCTGCCAAACCAGAAGAGACCCAGGACAGGAGTTCTCAGTCGTCAGTTTGTTTGTATGAAGTACTGTTTGGCTAAATGAGCAACCTTTCTGACAGCTTCTCCTCTTATATACAGCCCACAATCAGGAACATAGATACCTGTAGGGGGTAAAGAAAACCACTTACTGCAATTATGTCATCCAGAACACACCCAAGGAAACTAATTCTCAAATGTAATTTGAGAATATTTGCCAGTAGTCATTTCACTTATTTCCTCATTCCATAAATCCCAATAGAAGGAAATTAGAATATATTGGTTAGAGGTCGACAGCTTCACCATTCTTCTCGTAGTCATGTTAAAACAAATGTTGCTGCTGTTTCATGTAGACAAATTCAAGGGGGTTTAAGCATCGTATATTGTAAAAAACAAAGTAACGTAGGCTCAAATTCACATAACCTAAGTGCCATTGATTAATAATTAACTGTTTGCTATTTTTAAAATGTCATAACTATCCTCTGTTATAGATAGAACGTTTTATTTACCTTCTTGTCCTTTGGAGAAGGTTGTGTGGCATCTGAAACTGCACAGCTGCTCTGAATCCCATAATCCAGACAGAAATTTGGCTCACTCTTACAGTTAAAGGCAGCTGTCATGCTATCTTTGCAAATATAAAAGGATGATTCAGGTGCAAGTGGCTGATAGGAATTTGTGCATAGCACCTGTACCCTAAGTCAGAAGCAGTAATAGTGTTATTTTGGATACAGTTTCACTGTTGGGGGTATTTAAGGTTGGTAATCTTTCTCAGGAACCATGTGTGGGAACATTAAGTTTTATTCTAAATGAGGTTAGACTAAACTGTTTTGGAAAGCTCTCCCATGTACTCCAAGTGCATTCCCCAGATTTACGTCAAACTAGCCTAGCTGTTTATGAAATTATACTGAGCAAGCTTTCAAAGTTGAACAATTTGAGAGATATTAAGGACAATCTAACTTTCATTTTTTCATACAAAACTAGCAGTGGCTAAAGTTGCAGATCTAAAAACAATTCAACAAGTTAAAAGATTTGATGCTGAAAGAATCCACATAGGCTGAAGGAAATGCGTAAGAAATGATTTTATTTAGATTTGTGGCAAGTGACACATTATGCGCTATTAATATGAAATATTGTTAGTGCAGAACTCTCTTGCTTAAAAAAATGAAAATAAAAGTTGCAGAAAAAGGAACACACATGATATTTTCATCATGTCACAAATCACTAAGTTCTTCTACAAGATAATTATTACGATGGATGTTCTTCACATTTATGTGATAATCTCTAAGTTGATGAACAAAATTTATAAGATAGTTTTTGTGTAAATAGTATTCTCTGAAATAGCTGAAAGGCAGTGCATGAAGACATAAAGCAGCAAAGAATAATATGAGTCACTTTTAAGGAAATGGGAACAATTTCTAAAAAACAACAACAACAAAAACAACAACAAAAGAAAGATTTTAAATCTATTAATATGTGACACATCTATGAACAGAGCAACAAACTTGTTTACCTTACCTGTTTTATTTTCTAGTCATATTTGTTTGTTGCACTTAAGGACCAGAGTATGACTGGCCTTTTTTCAGTATTCACCCTCTGCAGTGGCTGTGTGTACGCTAATTAAATGCCCTTTGAGAAGAATATCTACCTCCCACTGTTCAATAGCAGCTGGGGATGGTTTCTGTCTATTCATACATCAGCATTACACTTTGTCATCTGAAGGGGCTGGTGCAATATTTTACACTAAATTGTGCTTTGGACTGGATGCCAAAGTACAAATGACAGCATGGTGTACACTCATTCATCATCCCAACACCCCCC